GGGGAGGGAAAGCTGCCTTGCAGATCCCGGAGCTCACAAGCCTATTAATTTCGAATTTTTTTTAACAGTGTCCTTTACTTGATACTTGATCTGAGAAAGGATGAAGTAAACCTAAAAAGATTCTAAGAGAGTGTGTGGTTTATACAAGGTAACTAACCAGCCACTGTTTACTATCCTAACAGGAATCTGTAGGCATATTTCTTTTCTTTCTCTTTTTTCCTTTTTATGGGCAGCTTTTAAAAACCAAACCAAACCAACCAAACCAAATCAATGATAATTCAACAGCAGGTTCTAAATCACCCCCAAGACAGCAGCTAAACTCGGTTTAGACTTACAATGCAGCTTCTGGTGGTTGGATTGAAGAATGTATCTCTATCCTGAATATAAAAGTCATTCACGCAGCTCTTCTCAAATAGGGCAATGAAAAACTCTTGCTCCGGTTGTTGATACTTTCATCCACTTAGAGGACTTTCATAAAACAGCTGAAGTTATCAAAGGCTGAGGACCGGGTTTTCAGATCATTGGGCTTCAGAGGCAAATTTATGTGCAGTATCTCAGCGTATGTACAGAGCACCTTCCACAGGGTGTGTACTTTTGCAAATACAAGCTTGTCATCCAAAACCTATATTGGGAGAATGAAAACACAAACCAGGAAACTATTTTCACATTTATAGTACACAGATTTTTCTTACGTTACTGGTAGTTAAAACACTTGTGCAAACACACACACATATGGCACTGGTAAAAGTGAAGATATAATAAAAATAGATTTGCAAACCATCATACATTTTTGCCTTAAAGATAATTTCTTCATTGAAATTACTGAAACGTTATTTAAAATCGTTACACTTCATTCATAAAATAACCAATGTTTTAGATGAAGAAAACCAAACTTGTTAATTTTTGGTCCAAATTAGTAACTAAAAATAGAAACACCAAAATATTCTTTGCAGTGGTATTGTAATGACAATTTTTTAAATTTCTGAAACCTAGGACTATTTACATATCTGTTCAATATAGTGTTAAACAGCCATTAAAAGGGATTTAAAAGAATTATATTTATTGATATGGAATATATAATAAAAGGAGAAAGCAAAAATAATGTGAAATAATAACTTTCCTTTTTGGAAGGGAAAAATATCTTCATTTGAACAAAAAAATGTTAAGAAGGATTTTAAGATTCTTTATGTATAATTAAGGTACAGATTATTTTGAATTCCACTGTTCTTTCATTTTCAGTTTTGGGGGTAAATTTTTATAATAAAAAATCTTTAAAAATATTCTTGCATAAATACAATAATAGATATATTTATGACTACATTCTCTGGCTATTAAATAAGATCTTCTAGCTTTGGATCTGAAACATACATTCCACATTGCAGATTCTGACTGACTCGCCTCCCAGCCCACAGAGAAGGCACGGCTAGGGTGACATGTTTCAAATATCATTCCAGGTAACATGCAGGCTCCCAGCCAATGGCTGCATAGGGACTGACACTGATCTGGTTGCTCCCAGCTGCAGACCATCACAGATGAGGTTACATAAATAGGCTCATGTTTTCTCTGTCAAAAGAAATCAGAAAATGTTAGGCTTTTACTTTCACCAAGGGAACAAGAAGTTGTTTGATTTTTTTTATGCAAAAAGTAACAACAAACCAATTTCAACCTGATGAAAAGACATTTGCTCAAAACAGCACAGTAGCAATGAAGGTGCTCTGGCTGGCAGGGGCTTGTTGGATTCCCATGAGTGCTGGACTCCTCACATGGATTTCCCTTGGCACTCCAGAAGGTCTGTGGTTGTCCCCATGGTTTTGTGGCCATATATGGCACACAAAAGTCTCTGGCTTTGCCACAATTTCAAAGCCTTTTTTGGCTTATGAAAAGTTTTGCACTCAAATTGAGTTTTCTTGAGACCACACACTGATGTCATTTACCAGAGTTATACTCCAAATCTGACATTCTAGACTGTTAAAATCTTGCACACATTCAAATGGTTCAGGTTTGGATGTGTATTCAACTCTGGAGGCCTCGACCAAATTCGATAAAGCCACCCGGACAAGTTCAGCAAAATGCAAAGAAATTTTTCTCTCTGCAAGACTGAAATGTCTGTGAAGCTATAAAAACTTCTGCATCTACAAAAATAGGGAACCAACTCATCAATAACTTATCTATCCATAATGCATGGACATTTAAGAAAAAATACTGCATTTACTCCTATTAAA